TATTTCCATTTATATTTAACGAATGTTCAAAAGACCTAAACATTTCGAAATATTTGAGAATAAAGGGAAATATCGAAAGTGTACTTATTTTTTTAACCTTTGGTGTATGTACGTTTTTACATACATATGTATGTAGAGGGGTACGGGTGTGTGGTACAATATGGGGCCATTGTTGGGAGTAGCGTAGCCAGCACTCACAAAAATGGGCACAAACATTTTTTTCTTAACGCTTCACTCAATTTCGATGTTTTTTTCTGCTTAGCCTCCTTTTCGCCCAGCGGTCGACGGCGCTGTCGTTTCCTTCAAAAAGTTCAAAGTTGCCAGCAAAAGCGCGCTCTCACTTACATACACGCTGAAGTACGATGCCGTTGCGCCAGGGAGAGAAAAAAACTCAGAGAGCAACTTGTACAAAGAAAAAGAAAAAAAGAAATCCGCACAGAAAATAAAAACTGTTTGCAAGAAAGAATGAAAGAAAAAATCGGAAAAAATGCAAGGCAAGTGGTTGCTGGGCGCACAAAGTTATAGGTGGGGGATTGTGGGGATATACATGCTGGGTGTGCCGCCAACGGCGGCGACGTCTGGCGAGAAGCAGGAGAGCTAAAAACCGCGCGTCCAACACCACCCCATTGATGGCTTATTGTTGTTCTTGTTGTGTTGCAAACTGTCCGGTTGTACATACATACATACGTACATATCTACATATGCATGTGTGTGTGTGTGTGTGTGTGTGCCTCAGTTTCAGCTGTTCGTAGCTGGCCAAAGATAAAGGTAAGGCAATGGTGGCCTCGTTGCAGAGCTGCAGATGAAGAACAAAGAAAGGAGGAAGAGAAGGGCAGATTGAGTGCTCCAACATGCAATTGGGACCAACGACGAGGAGACAGAGATAGTGGTAGCAGCGGCGTTTTAAGAAGACCCCAAAGTGCTGGCATGCGAAAAAAAAAGTATACATGCATACATTAATACATATGTATGTATGTATGTACATACACATGTACAATAAATATATCAAAGCACATGGCGTCATTTAGCCACAGACCGACACATGCATACATTCACATATGGGAAGGTATGTACATACATACATATGTACGTATGTACATATGAATGTATGTATGTAGGTAAGTAAATACATACGTATTTAGGAGGCATGAGCTTGACCACAATTGTTGGGGGCAATGACAAAACTTTGGAGCTGAATATGGAGGAGGCGTTAATTTTAAAGCTAATCTCATTAGAGAAAAATCCAAATCCATACAACCTCAAGTGCAAAAGGCCACAAAGCTTAACTAAGTGGCAGCACTGCATGCGTGCGAAAGAGAGCAGACAGGCACATACACATACATACATACATACATACTATATATATACATATGTTTGTATATATGTACACACATACATACTATGTATATATGTATGTATGTATGTACATACATACATGCATGTCCAGTTTCTGAAGTCCAGTCGCTGCGACTGCGAAGGCAAAGCGGCAGCCATACAAATTTTTCAAGGCGATAAAAACAACGAAATAACCAAAAACAAAAATAAAGACAACCATCATGCAAACACAAAGGGGGGGGACAAAATTCATACGCATAGATAGCCCTGATGTTCCACAAGGAACTCCACAAGCTTTATATAAAGCGACGCCGATGAAGTCGACGTCGACATCCAAAATAGCAAAAACACACAATTACAAGGGCAAATGCAATAATAGAAAAACAAAAAATAGAGAGCAATATAAAAATGGTCAAAAAAACCGCGACAGAGAAGGAAAAAATCGTGTACATACATATAATACGCGGAAGAGAAAGGAAGGAAGGGGAGAACGCTAAACTCCAAGAACATGTGCAGAAACAACGGCGACGCCGCCGAGTTGTAACGAAGGCGGCAACTACGACTCTGGCAAAAGAGAAACAAGCAAACACACGTCCCTCTCACTGTCCCAGCCCCACCTATACAATAACTGGATAGCCAACGAAAATAAAAATGGAGCATCGTCTGTGACAAAAACAACACGCAAAAGCAAAACCTGCAGCATGAATGGGAAGTCGACTGGATACGTCACCAAAGAGGAAACTTTAAGGCAAAGAGGGGTGGTGGTGGTGAGCCGCTTGAGTGGCGACCGTCAACTTGAGTCCATTTCTTTTGCTCTCAAGCCAGCAGCGCGCATTGAGTGCGCAAGCTAGCAGCAATAATAACAGACACTACTGTACGGGTTTGTGTCTTCACTACTGCTTAGAGGAATTCAAATAATTCAATGTAGGTAACGGCAATGTTAAGTCTAACAGCGTATCGTATGCATAAATGTTTGTTCACAAAAACAAAAATCTAAAAAATAGTTTAGAAAATATTTATGAGTAAATAAATTTAAAGATTACAAGATGTTCCCCTCTCTTAAGGTCAAATCATTCCATACTTAATATTGCAATTAACCAGGATAATATAGCCTGTGGGTAACAGCAATGTTATGTCTAACAGTCCTAATTACCAAAGAGATTACATTTGCAAGCTAAAAACAATATTGGTCGAATAAATTTAAAATTAACATTTATTAGTTAATAATAATATCGTTAAGACAATAGACTGGAGAGATTGGTACATACCATAAATGTAAGCCCAACAGGCAGACAGTGAAAAATGTACAAAAATGATTGAACTGAGACCAACTCCGTTAAATAAAATAGACCAAGAGAACGATAAATATCGAACACATACTACATAATAATCGAATGCCCGACAATAGCAATCACACATACTTAGCTAATACGTCGAAATACAATCCGCTATACCATTCCTTTCACACTCAACAGTAGAGCAAATATTATTTAAAGAATGCATCAAATTTAAAATACTTTTAGAAGCGTAAGGCCCTATAAGCCATGCTTTTTTTATGGATTTTTTTAGATACCCCTTAAAATTAAATTTAATTGCATCTAAGCTTACGTTATCTGAGATAAATACATTTACTGAAAAGGCTAGAGCTATAATGGAACTATAATTCGTGTACTAGATTTTATACGTCAAGAAAATTTTCAAGGATTTTAAAGTTGTATTTAGAAGGAATTAAAAGGACGGTTGAGAAAATATGCTTTAGAGAAATGGGAGTATTGGTGTTTAAGACTGTCAAAAATTCGGATTGTAATATGTATCTATTTGGTTACCGACTCTTTGATCGTAGTTCTTGGAGTGATATTATGTTGCAAATGGGAAATTTTTAATAGATGCGAAGGATGTGAGTATTTTGCCGTTGCTTTTCCTGCGGGGTCGGTTTTTTCATTACCTTTTACATTGTAATGGCAGGGCCCCTAAATTAATATAAGGGAAGTGTTGAGAATATCTGTCTGGCTTGTAGGGGGTTATACTGCCCCCTATAAATATACTATTAGATCGGCTGCAAATATGGACGTGTAGTGGGGAAGTAGGAAAGTTTTCCATAGGTTGTAGTAAATGCCAATAGAAATTAAATCTACTGGTTTGGTGTACATATATGTATAAAGAAAGGGAGGAGAAGAATTCTTTGAAGCCTTTGGAAAAATATCCTAATCGTTGAATTTCCATGTGACCTTATAGTTTTATTTCTAGCTTTATAAATAAATAAAATAAAAACGTGTTTGCTAACAACAATATCTTTCTAGTTGATTTAAAACTCTCTCTCCGTTCTTAAAAGAACATTTTGCCGAAATATAAAACACATCCGAAATAATCGTGAGGGTATGTTATATTTTCATATTAAAATTTATATTCTCACGAACTTTTATGTAACATACAGGGATGGATAAATAAGTACCCGGCTGTGACGACTGAGGGCATTGATGAGATGTGTTTGTGGCAACCCTGGTTAACGGCTGACGTGGATGGCAACAAAAAGTAACTGCTATAAACCGAAAATGTAAAATGTCTGCATAGCAGCCAACTTTATGAGGAAAGTTAAGGTATGACAGCAAAAATCAATCCATCTGTCCGTCTGTATGAACAGCTGGATTTGGGAAAAGTGCTGGGCCCTCATTAATTAAACTTGGTATTTAGACTCTCCAAGTCCCTAGGCAACACGAGTTTATTTTATATCACCTCATCATACACAGAATTGCATGAAAGCTTCACGTGTTATTTGTATGTAATTTTATACCTTCATTTCACTTCCAGCTTATCCAAATTCGTTAATTCTAAAAACAGTAATTCGTACTTTTTACTGCTTACTTTTCATTATCATTTGCTCTTTAATTTGTAAATTTTTTTGAAGTATTTTGTCCACTTCAAATAATATATATCTCTGTTTATTTTAAGTTGTGAATCGGAGCTTAACTCGCCAGAAACAGAATAAACCTCCAACCACTCGGATTTGCTACTTAAATAGTTTTGCTATTTTTATTGCCTTTTTACACCAGGTACTGGAGGTATCCCCCCCACTAGAGAGTAAATATGTGAAACATATCTATCATGCAGTATTCCACTTGTGGCAGAACACATGTTATCGATACATACATATGTATATGACCAGCATGATGAGACGAATCGATACAGATATAAAGCTTTGAAGCATAGCAACTATGATTTCCAAACTTGATCTAAAGACTTGTCTCATCCATAGGCAGAGTAAGTGTTGCTATATACTACATATACGATATAACCTCATTATTTTATATTGCTGCTATAGGGACGCTCGGTGCAGAAGTCTTTCTTTTTACAAGATCGTAACCAAAATAGGGTATTCCTCCCCATAATCTGCAGTTTTATCAAAGTCGGCGCACATTAAAAAATATAACTGCCATCGGAATGGTCGGTACAAACAAAGTTAATTTAAGTTGAATGGCTGTAGCGGGACCTGAGTTTTCATCTATAAAGTCTGGCAGAATTGTTCAAATTTCGGAATTTCAATCGATCGCATGTGCCTTTATCTATTTTTTTCAGTAAACCCAATATATTTTTTCATTCTATCATGATAAAGCAATGCCAGTCGGCTACTCTGATTATATAAAAAAAAAATTGGAAAGAAGACTCACCTGTAGCTCCGATTCTGTGACATCGATCTCGCCGCGATAAACAAAGTCAATAATTGTTTTCAAATCTGTGAATATGATATCGGCGGGTAGTATGATGGTCGGGTGTTTGCATGGATTCTCAAGCAGCAGTTTTTGAAAATATGTCGAGCACGCAGAGAGGACAACCTATATGTAGAAGATGATTCATATGTAAGCCCCCTTGAAAAGCTATCATCTGACATCAACTCACCTTGTGGGCCTTGAGGGAGCCATGCTCGCAAGACAAGGTCACATCGACGAAGGACAGATCCTCGCGCAGCTGCTGAAAAACAGAGGTCATCGTGTTCTGGTAGTTATTCCAACGCAAGCTGAAGTACTGATGACCACGAACGGCTGCCATTTTGGAGGCGATTGTTATATAGTTCGCCTAGCTGGATGTATTTATTATTAAGTTAACTATTGCGGGTTCCGTGTTCAACACGCCGCACTTAAATTTACAATTCTCCCCTTTTTCCTCCTGTTCGGCTATAGATAATGAGTCCAGTGGCTTGAGGAGCTGCAAAGACAAAGTGAATTATTGTGTTTATTTATTATTCATTATTATTATTGAATGCATTTTTTTTTGTTCGGCTTTATGCATTTATCAAGGAATTTACCTTCAGTGAGTCTAAAGTGGCAAATCTCGTATACATTTGAAAATTTTGCACTAGCCGTTTCTATTTGAGCTCCAAATGCAGCCCAGACTGCAACTGAGAGCACTTTAAACAGACTCACAACATCCAGCCCAGCCTGGCACTGCCTCCCCTTCCCAACCCCTCCTCCTTCCCTCACAAGCATGTTAAAGAAGTCCATTGTGCGACTGAGTAGAAGAGCTACATAAAAACAGGTAGACTTTCAGCTGGAATTCAAGCTCACTGACTAGCGTGTAACCTGCACTTGTATTGTAGTCCGATAACAAAGAGAAGGAGCCCTTTGGAGGAGTTTGTAAAAAGCGTTAGTACTTTTAAAAAATACTGTTTAATCGAAAGAGAAGGCATTCCTAAGTCATTTGAAACGCGACCTGCTGTTCGCTATAGCTTTCCATGGAACTAGAAGATAATTCTGTTCTTTCGCTTAACCTTAAATATAGACGGGAAAAGTTCCGGTTAAATTGCCTAATCGAGTTCAAAAAATGCCAAACATTGTAGCGTATAGGCCGACAGACCAAACTTGAATTTATCGCTGCATCTAAACTTTGCTAGCCCGCTGCTTCAATTCAGAAAAGTTTTTAGTTTTGTGCATGAAAATGTAAACTGTTGCCTTACACCAGAAGAAAACCGAAACCAGTTTGGGTTTTGTTGTTGCTTTTTGCCGATGCTATTTCAATGGCACGTACTGTCTCTGTTAAGGCTGTTGCTGTGTTTTTATTGTTGTCGGTATTGGTGCACATTGTCGAAGAAAAAAACATATGAGAGAACCAGGAATGCTGGAAGGATCCGACTGATTTTGTGTTGCGCCCTCGCATGTTTACGTTGTCATGAGCCAAACAAACTCGGTACCTAAAGTCAAGTTTTATTCTTGATATTTAAGCGTTAACCAATGGTAGTCGCTTAGTACCTAGTGCCTAACTAGATAAAATGGGTCTTCCTTTGAATTTACACTTTTTATGTTTATGTTAAAGCTAAATTCAAATTTATTGTCTAGTTTGATTGTATTTTAAGTCCTGTTTTGGATCAACAACATAATAAACAAAGTAGATCCCTTTGCTAAGCATGTGACACTAAAAATAAGGACAGCAAGGACAACTTTAGTTTTGAGTCTACATATTATACAATTTTAGATCCATGCGCTAATACTGTATAATGGGCAGATTAAAACAATAGTAATTATTATATACTATATGTACATATATAGACAAGAAAATTAATATAATCTTCGTGGCTAACATCACTGCAGTTGAATGTACACCTTTTGACAATGCAGTAAACGACCATTATCCCCACCAATGCATTCCTCTATAGCATCCCACATCGCATCGTCAACCCGGCAGCACAATCCATGTTGACAGTCTAGGTTGTATTTGAAGTAAGCAGTTCGGGATGTTGTTGTTGTGGCCGACGTATCGTTTGTCAAGGTGTCCAAAATTCAAGCTTTTTATACCCTATACCCTAATGCTAAAGGCTATATCAGGGTTGTGCAAAGTATGTAACAGGCAGAAGATATCTGATCCCATAAAGTATATACGTACATAATCAGCTTATAAGACCTTTCTCGACTGTAACATTCTTTCTTGTTCTCTTATAGTTCTGAACAAATGTAATCCTTTAAGTATTTATATAGATCTGTATATTCAGCAGCTAGTTTTGCAAAAAAAACACCATTTAAATCGGAATTATTTATCCACAGCAAAAAATCATCGCCTATCCAGATGAATTCTCAAAGATGCTATAATAGATCAGATTTTGTATGTATTCTAGATCCATGATTCGTTAGGAAAGATTAAGGGGTAACGAAGTTTATTTACTACTTATCAGCATGATAAGGTTTAGCTGTAAAAATGCTAATGATATTAACAAACTTGGGGACTAGGGGGGAATCGTCTGCCATGATCGAAATATTCTACAAAATTTAGAAAACGAACCCTCTATACCAAGCACAGTCATGATTTTCCAAGGATTCTTCTTCTAAAGTCCCCGACTTTGAAATACTCTGTACCTACATATGTCTATGCGTGTCTGTGTGTGCCGGACTGGCTAATAAATTTCCCCCCAACGGGTCAGTGATTCTTCACCTTTAAATTTTAATTATATTTCATATTTTATTATTTAAGTATTTTGATTTTAATTTGTTTTCTTCTATCTTTTATTGCTATATTTTTTCATCTACACTTCTGTTTTGATAGGTCTAACAACGTATCTGACTACTCTCTGCTGTGAATCTGGGCATAGCTGGCCGTTTGGCAAATAAAATTCCCCCACCGCGTCGGATTCGTTATTAGATATTTTTGTCATTTTTATAGGCTTTTTTTTTTTTAGTTTTGCCTATTTTAAGATCTCTATGGTATTGTACATCGACTGCACTGTTTGTCGATGGAAATAAATAAATAAATAAAATAAAAATATAGAGTTGCAATATAGAGTTGAAAAAGCAGTAGCAACAATAATATAACAAATATAAGGCATCTGTGTCGATCTTTTATAGCCTCTGAGAACGAGTTGTTCATACGAACGGAGGGACCGGGCTAGAATCAAGAATATATATACTTTATGGGGTCTGTCTGTCTCATGTCTCACTTCCCGCAAATAAATATACTCTTGTTGCTTTAAGGTAAAGTGTATACCCAAGTCCAATAATTAGTTCCCGCAAAAATTCGAAATCAAAACATCAATGTGTGACAAAAGGAAATTTAAAAGAGAAGCGTAAACAAGTTGTGCGACCCCACAAACTAACCAAACCAACCAACCAACAATATAAACGCGCGAGCAAACAGAAAAATACATCATTTTCGGCATTTCGGCATGCCGTTCGACCCATTGCTTTCTCCCCCAATTCGCGGACTATACACGTACGCGACCAATCCACGTTTTTTACTGTTGTTGCTTGGCCCCTGTTGCTGTCTCTCCATAAACACACGTGCACATACATTTGTACACACATAAAAAATATACATTTATATACATATATGTATGTATGTATGAACACACACATTCATACAGACTTGCGCCAAAGCCGTTTTCGGCCATCTATTTGAAGGCATGCTTGCTGTTGTTTGTTTGTTCGCCAAATGCATTTCTCCTCGTTTGTTTTTCCCCCTTCATTTTTCACTTTCCATGGTGCTCTTGAATATTTTTTTCAATTTTCTACATTAGCAGACTTGCGTCGAATATACAAAAAAAAATAGAAGGGTATCATCATTCCAGTTTCATTGATGGGGCATATTAATAGAAGCTTATCAAATTTCCTGGAAAAACTCTTCCATTATTTTTTTTATTTATTTATATTTTTTGTAATTTTTTTCGTTCTTATGCTGGTTAAATTTGTAACACCCATAACACCACACGCATATCACTAAAAACTTGACACAGATACTAGTCAAGAACCACAATGTATAATCATAAAAACGATTTCATTTAAAAGAATAGTTTTAAAAATGTTTTTATAAATATTGGAACCGATTAACACATTGAGGATGTTGTTGTTGTACGTTAAAGGGCTTGATTTTCGAACTAGTTTGAAATTCAACACTGCAGCAGATTTATGAAGTTCATAGCCATCACATGTCTTTAGTCCACCACCATGCACTTGTTCACCCCATGTTATTTTGTATTCTCTCCTTCACACCGCTATTTGAAAATATGTTTTTATGCGCACTTTACCGTGGGCATTATTTGCCGTTGCATAAAAAAATAAGTGAGTAAACATTTTAATACTTCGAGTTCATAATCCTATAAATACAAATTCAAATTAATAATTTTTGACCAAATGTGTTCGTCAGATATGTAAAGTGTAATGAAAACAATAAACACTGTTCACTGGCAAAAAATTGTTTTCAGTCCCCTGTGCGCGCGACAACCAGCGCAGAAACTTCTTTACATCTTCACATGCATGAGTGAAAGAGATAGCTGTTTTGCTTTTATGCGTGTGTTGGTATGGTGAGACAAGAAGTAGCAGTAGATAAAGAAGAAGACAAATGACAGACTAAAACAGCGTTGATGAGGTGAGGTGAGAAGAAGAAAAGAAAATGGATTTTAAACATTTTTGTTTTGATTATTATTGTTCTTGGCGTAGCGTTGTCGCACAGCAACCGGGGCGCAAATGCGAACTTATGAAGCAAAATACAAAAAAAAAGAGGAAATGTATGTGTCTAAAAAAGCAAATATATGTCACTATAAAATTGGCTCGACTGAAGAATAAAGTTATGTATATGTTTGCTGATAGCTTGCTGCTTCTGCACCTACAAAAGCGGCAGTGACAACAACAACGCCAACTAGCAATTGAAATCAATTGAAATCGTTTCAAACGGATTGCTGCTTACGTTGTCACCTCTGTTGTTATTGTAGTTGTTGCTGTCTCTGCTGCTGCCGCCTATTTTAGGTTCTCTGTTATAGTAGTGGTGCGTTGTTGTTATTGTAATTGTTGCTATACCTTTTTGCTATTTATACATACATATGTATGTATGTTTGTATGTATTTTTGATTTTAGCGCTTATTCAACAGCACTCGTGGCTGCAACGCTCCTCTTGTTGCAATTTGTTTTTGAAAGAGCTCTGCGCTAACGCTGCACCTTCATCATTGCGCTGCCACTGCAGTTCAATTTACTGCATAATTTTCTGCACTCGATTCGTTAAACGAATTTTTAATTTCAATTTTTTTGCCGACACTTTTACGTATTACGTTCATATATACTTTTAGATTAAGATTACAGTTTGCGTTGAGTAGCGGGCCGCAATTGTTGCTGTTGTTGTGTCTCCTGTTATAGTTATTTTTATGCACTGCACACCTACACAAACATAACTAATTGTATTCGCGTGTTTTCAGTTTGCCGCCGACCTCTTTGCAGTTGTATTTCGTATTTATTCTTTTTGTAGGCTCAATTTTTTTGCTTTATTTTTATTTTAATTTGTTTTTTTTTAGCATTAAAATTTTACTACGTTCTCGCTCGCTCACTCATACGCACGCACGCACTCACACGAATACCGCAGCCACACACATTCCGATCAATTGGTTTTTCAGCTGCTTTGCTGCGTTTGTTTTTCGTAATTTGCGAACTTAAATATATTTAGCAGTTCTCTTAAATACGAAGCGATTGCACTAGTTTTCTTTGCACTTTGTATGTTTCTTATGTTGTTTAACTTTAACTTCGCGAACTTTTTCAACGGACAGACGGAATTTAACAATTATTTCTTCGACTCTCGTCGTTCATCGTAGATTGCTTTTGCACTCGTGTTCGCCATTACGAAAATGGCAGCACGATTGTATCAGCCGCTTTAACGGATTTACCAACACTCTTCCGAATTACATATACACACGTCCTACACAAATCTGGCAGCACTCTTTATCAGAAATTGTTTACACCTATTAACACATTTTGCTTGATATGATTGATGATCAAATTTAAGTATTGGGTGTAAAAAACACAACGTTTTCCTGCAATAACCGTGCATAATATTATTGAATGATGATCAATTTCGTTGCACGCTAAAATAAAAAATCGATTCGCACTGTTTTGTTTGCTCCCTGCTACAAAATTTTCGAATAAATATTCATTGTGTTATCGAATAACGTGCATATTGGCGGCGTTTCAACTTTAAATTTAAAATGAGAAAAATCATACGCTTATTCATTTCTTTGCACATTAGCTTGTGTTTTTTGCTTTTTATAAGTAATTAAATATTCGCAGAGAAATTAGAAATTATGTGCACTTTTATTGATAAATACTGAAATTGTTTGTTTGGTTTTGAACATTTTGCTTGAGTGTGAGTAGGTGGGTTGAAAATGTGTAATAGGTGCGGAAGTGGGTGGTGACATCATAGAAGTGCAATAGAGCTATCATTATCTGACACTGGCACCTAAAGCTCGCAAGTCGATTGGAGCATACAAAGCGACTCATTTTTCATAAGTATTTAACTAACAAACATATACATACACTTACATTTGTATGAATAGGTATGTAAATATGTACACACCTACATATGTACATATATATGTGTGTATATAGCTCCTAGAGGTAAAAGCGCGCGTTTACTTATTGCAAACGTGACATGCATTTTTGGATTTAACGCTTTCGTATATGTATGTATGTATATTTGTTTGTAAGTAGTGTAGGTACTCGTAAGTATGTATATAAGTACTACAAAATTATCATTCGTAGCATCAAGGAGAATCGAAATGGATTAACATAAATTAATGCTCTCGCTTTAAACACAAAATAGTTTTATAGACTGTACTCAAAGGGAATTTTCGTTCAAAAATTTGTGAATTTGCACGAATTCTAGAAGAATTTGAATATTTTAAATTTGACGCAAGAAATCACAATTGTTTACGCTTATTTCTCTTTTTTGAGCTTGAGTTGTAGCTATTTTAAGTTAGCGAATATTTACTGTATTTCAACGCTTCAGCTCGCTCCATGCAATTCCACAGGGGCATCAGCAACAATAACAAAAACAAACAAGGCAAACAAAAGATCCCCACACCAACCCTCTTATTAAGAACATATGTATGTATGTACTTAGATGTATGTATGTATGTGTTAGTATGCATGTGTGGTATATATTGTCACTACACACATACATACATACATAAGTGCAGTTGGTGGGGTGATGATTTGGGATCTAAACCAGCACTGCTCCAAAACGTGAACAGTCACAGGGAGAGACAGAGAGAGCGAGAAAGAGAGCGAAAGAACCAAAAACTAAATGCGATGGAAGCCTGCGCATTAGAACAAGTACACATGCTAATGTATTCCGTTAGACTAATAAATACCATTATTTAATGAAATATTTCCCAAGTTTTGGTATCATCTGCAAGTCAAACCAGAATGAAATGAAAGTGTCAGTTGGTCCGGTCTCTTAAAAAACCTGTACCCACTTCCAAAAATAAACTTTGTATTTTTATTTTTAATTGAATTGAAATATAATTTAAATTTTAAGGAAAAAAACAAAAATAAATACATACATATATATGTATGTACATAGAACGTATTTATTTAGGTATGTTTATATGTGAGGATCTGTTAATAATTTTCTAAACAGTTGAAAAATAAGGTTTCTGGAAATTTACTTAAACCTTTCCGGGACGAATAATTGTCGATATGCATACATATGTATATGTACATATATAACAACCATAGCTGAACAGACTCATCTCGCTATGATGATCAAGAATATACATCCATACATACATTTGTATGTATGTACATATGTACCCATGAATATAAAGGCCCCATTCCATTCCATTCCATTCCATTCTGTACATATGTACATGTATTCGCAAAAACCTAATATACCCACATAGAGTTGTTCGTGCAGTGCAATAATTAATGCGTGTACATACATATGTACACATACATATACGTACATCAACATAGGCATACAAATGTACATATTAAGGTCGACGTCAGCCGTCGTGCCACCCTTTTCTTTTTGCGCTTACTTGCCACAAGAGAGCGCCAACATGATTCCAATGCCTACATGTGTATGTATGTATGTATTAATATTTATTGCTACACATGTATCTACATAGTATGAACATACATACATACTTATGTATGTATATTAAAATATAATAAATTATATTTAATATTAAGTAGCTCAACGTTTTAAATCAAATGCATTCAAGAAAAACGCTGGCCCACAACAACACACACTTCATAGACAATTTACGTCACTGGCACTTTTCTATTGAAAATTCTGACACATGCATAAAATTGCATGCACTTGACAGAGCACTTGTGTGCTTAAATTCTTGCATGTGTGTGTGTGTTGTGTGCGTGTTTTTGTTTGTTAGGTGTATATGTATTTGCTACAAGGTATGTACATATGTATGTATAATATGTGCTCACATATTTACTTGTTTTTCCACACTCAAAGCAAACTTTAGCGCCACGCACATACATACATATGTACATACATACATACATATACTATACATACATATGTACATATATAGAAAAACCTCTGCCCCATGAGCTCAAAACAACCCCTTAATTACCAGAAAGCAAAAACTAAATTGCACGGCAATTTAGAATCATAAAAGCATAAAGTTGCAGCCACGAAAATACAATTTGTTTAATACTCACAAGATAACTTACACTTCCAGCTCTCAACTTATCATATCTAGTTGACAGAGAGCGGTAAATACTCGTATTTGGGACAAAGGTAGCTCTCACAACCGCGCTCTCAGTGCATCCGCCAGAGGGCGCAGCAACTGCAACCACAAATCGGCACTCTATTCATTATCTAATCATTAGAATGTAGTTCAGGCATATACAAAAAGAGGGCGTCCAAAACAAAACATTACACCTCGAGAATAGCCACAAGGGGGGTTCTGTGTGGGATGATTAAATGTTCGATAGCCTGCTAATACTTAATACTGATGCGATTGGGATATGGAGATCAACCTCCTTAAGTCAGAGATCAGTGTTTACAGAAATGCTGGTACATTTAAAAGAAATACATAAATACAAATACATATCGAGGCTGAATCAAGTAAGTTAAATGGCAAACTTAAACTTTTCTTTAGTGCTTGGAAGTTTCTCAAATTAAATTTATATTTAATTCTTTGAGGCGGATACAGAAGGGCTTTACGTATAGAGATTTCGAACATCTAATGAATTCATCATTATTAGTAAAAATGTGACATTTTCAAGGTCCCACATGTTGGCGTTTTCAAAGTTTCCTTTTTATATTGTTTTCAGATATGAGCATTATTCCACGGCAGGTATACTTGTATATACTATACATATGTATGTATGTATTTTTAATAAACTTACTTTATTCACCGCTACAATCTTCCAACTTAAACAAACTTTATTTTACCAATCATTCCTATGACAGCTTTTTGCAATAGTTTCCCGAGAAATTATGGTAAAGCACTAATACAAAATTAAAAAAAAAATTAAAAATATTAAATTATCTCTCTAAGAGGGATTTTTAATAGTTCATTTATAGTTTGCGGACTTAAACTTCTCTTAAAGTGTTCATAATGACGGATAGTCGGATCCATAGGATCGTACCTATAACATGTAGACTGCCCCGCCTCTGTCGCCTTCTACACATATTTGGCGTTTCAAATATAACGTTTAAGGCGCGCAAGAGGTCCCTGCCTCCACAGCTTTTCAACTTACATTAGACTTGTGTATCATTTCAGAATACACTATACAGTTATATTTCATTACAAATTCTCACAAGCTTATCCAAATCGAGTTGGATTTATTTTTGCATTTTTTTTATACATACATACATACATGTGTGCTTATAGTATTATGTGCTTGCAGTAGAAATGGAAACGCAATTGAGAGATTGCCACGAACAGTCGTGAAGGCAACACCACACACACACACACACACACACACACACACACACACACATGCAGAGATTACCACTTGGAAAAGTTCACGTTGCTGTGCCCAGCAGGGAATATTGAAAAACTCTCGCATACTTTTTGGCGCGCTCTCTTGAAATTTTTCTCTGCGTTGACGTTGACCTCGACAACGCTTGTGAGAGTTGCTCGTTAACTTAGTTTTGTGGATCTCTTGCTCCCTGCAGGCAGTCGAACACACCCCCAAAAGCATAGGCACACGCAAGCACCCGCATCAATGCTGCGTCAGCTACCCTAGGCTTGTACCCTACCCTCCTGGCGAGCCACCAGCTACGCACCCAACTGTCTCGTTCGATCTGGCACCAAGCAACGATGAGTACCCTGCAAGGCCTTCTTTAGGGTAGTTTCTGTCTCCGCCGCCACCCCACATACACTTGACAAAATTTACCATGCCATACATTTCTTATCTTAATAAATAAGAGTTTCGATAATTTTCTTACGCAAACTTTTCGCAAATTGATTCACACATTTAAATCGACTTGTCTTGGTTGCTATTTAATAAACAAAAGAATCCATTTATTAACAATCATTTCCATGCGACTATACTGAACAAACATAATTCTCCTATTTCATACAGATTTTTTTTGTTTTACTGTCTTAACTATCTTCTACAGAAAAAATTCTTTCTTTGCTGACTCTTCAGCAAAGTGGTCCAACATGTTATTGTTCAGTTATGTTTCTTAAAAAATGGTAGAAGGTGTTTCTTTAGCCACTCTGTTATGAACATTTCTGCGTTTATATTGGTTGATGCAAGACCAAGG